CTACCCTTGGTTAACCTTTATTTGCATTTGAAATCACAGCTGCTTCATGGTTAACGAGCTAAAGGAGCTTAATCATTTAAACATATACTTTATCATTGGAATATGTGAAACTGGGTTATACAGAATGCTATTATAACTCAGCTTTTTCAATCCTCCTGGGCAGGATCAAACTTTGGCTCTAGTAGCCTCTTCCTATAGAGCTTTGAGTTGAAACGGCAATTGTTTAAAATCAAGGTTTGACATTTAAGAATTCTTGCCAAGAGTTGGATCAGAAGATTTGTTCCACTCTTATATCTGTCTGATAGATATGAAGCTAGAGCCAGTTATCTTAGCAAAGAGAGTAGGTGGAAAGAGCTAGCCTGGCTCCGTCCAAAAGTTCATAAGCTGCTAATAAATCAACTATTACATTTCAGTTTTTGTACCAACAACATATAGTAGGTTAAGAATAGAGTTATAAAAGGCCTGCAGATTTAGTATTGTTTTTTATACAGAGCCAAACTAGCCTTTTTCAGTGCTAAGCATGGTGTCTTAAGTTACACATTTTAGAAGACATTGCTGGGTTAATTAACAGAATAACCTGTAAGAAAGTTTGACAGCACATGAGGTAATAACATATATAATTCCATGTATGGTTTAATGATATATATTTAAGAGAGAGTGGGGGCTAAGCCAGATCAATATTATTGCTAATATCTGCAAAATAAAAAGTTTGACCTTAGTTACCAATACTCATTGTCTGCTTTCACTAATCACTTTATTTTCTGTGTATCTCTTCTTACTTGTTAATCTGGCTGGACGTATTTTGATTGATGGTGCTTTGATTACGTTTACAGTGTGATTTCTGCAGGGTGATTCCCCTCAGCTACCAGCGTACAGGATGTCTGTCTGCGTGTCTGCTGGCTGCTGATATGCGATCCTATGTTGGCGCTGGTTGCCATGAGAGAGAAAAGGAGCGAAAGGGAGATGAAACTTGACATCTTGTTGGCCTCTGAACAGGACATTTGGAATTACCATTGATGGCAATGCTTCCTTTGAGGAAAAAGTCAAATGTTTTAATGGAGCATGGGCACACAAAGAGAGATTAGGGAAATGAGAGGAAGACAGACAAGGAAGAACGTTTTTGTTGAACTCAACTCTGAGCAAAGCCATTGTTTTGTCATTTCCTATCTCTGGGGTATTTTATTTGAAACACAGAAGAAAAAATTGTCTGTCATATTGAACTGTTCAAAGAGTGTCTGTCAGGCTTGTTGTTTGTTTGTCCTTCCTGATAGGCTGGGGGTGTTCAGGTGTGTCCAATAAGGTGGAGCTGACAGTTGAGTTTCTGCTCAGTGATTGGCTGAAAGCCACTCAAGTTCAGGCTTTGTATTGATTCAAATATGTGAAACCTTTTCTTCAAAAGAGAGTGAGGGGGAGAAAGGCGTCCGCTGCTCGTTGGTGTTTGAAAAGTACCTAACACACGTTTTCATTGGCTGCTCTGCTGTAAAACCTTAACTGTGCAGTAAAAAGTGTTACTCTCTGCCAAAAATGGCAGAGAATCTTTTTTACAATGCCTTGTCGTATAGTCTTCCTGCCTTTATAATGGCGGGCCTCCCTTGAGCTTGTAACATTTTACGCTCTCAATTACCATTCTCTTTAGTCATGATAAATGTCAGCAGGGGGGAAATAACCTCGTCAGCTGAGTAACGGCTACTGAAGAAAGGAATAGCTTCAGGTTGAAAACTGTTTCTGGTGTTTCTTCTGTGGATCCAGACACAAACAAAACAATACAAGATAGCAAATCTAGATACATTTTCTGAAAGCAACAGCATATCAGAGAGTAATGCGTTGTCTTGATTTCTCCTTTCAATGCAGTGTTAGGAGGGCAGGAATCGTGTGTAGGGGGTGAAGTGCGTCTCTCTGGTGGGCTTGTCACCTCCCTGAAACCTGTCGCAGCTACAAATGTTTGTTTGTTCTGTTGTTTTACTGACTAGTGTTCTCGCTAACTGACAAAACACTGTTGTTGATTTTACACATTGGAGTTTGGCAGGGGTGGCCACCACAGTTGTCACCGTATAAACTAAACTAAATAGTAATGCCATGTCTCAAATTGGAACCTTTGTGATATTTGAATATTCTTAAAGTAAATAATCTTATACAAGCTTCTTTTATAGTATTCAATATAATATAGATAATATGTATAATAGTATAAATATATAGGTGTTTGTGTCGTCTGGAGCCGTGTGTGGTTGACCCTTAGCGACAGCTGGACAGCATGCGTGTCAACAATTCAGGTTGGTTACGACAGTCACAAACCACAGAAGAAGACCTTTGTGTGTCTATGTGTCTGTGTGTGTGTGTGTTAGACATAACCCCCCTGTGGCCAGGGGAGCCTGCTGACAGGTGACAGACCGATTTATTAGCTTTAATGTGTGTGCACGAGTGTACGATCATTGTGTGGTCATACCCAAACACAAGTGTGTCATTGCTTCACAGGTCATTAACAGCTCTTATCACCTCTCGAGCCTCACCACCTACACTGTGGGACTCAAAATGTGTGGCCTGCCCATATAACTCTTTTTTATTTCTGTTAATAATTAATCCACCTACACCTCATTAAATACAATCTACCGACTGAACTGATAATATTTATCATTAGATTCATATTTATAAGGCTGTTAAGTGCAATAACCTGTGTGCTTTAAACCATTTGTTTACAAGCACTATTCCTCTATCTCGTAATCATGCCAGCTAAAAGAGATAAGGGGTAGTGTATAACGATAAACATTTACCCACGATACTTCAAAAGAGCTGAGATCACGCAGCAGCTTTGATGCTAGTTTTTACCCAAAGGGTCATCTAATAAACACTCACTAGTAAGTGCTGTTAAACCTGTGTGTCTATTTGTGCTGGGGGGGGGCCTATATGCGTGTGTGTGCATGCTTACACACATAGAATGTTTTTTTCCGTGGCTTATGTCCGTGACACTCCCTTTCCACGGTTCAGCCCATCCTCTGTATGTGTGTGTGATCCCATGCTAGCAGCTGGTGGGCGCTATAAATAGTGTGGGTTGGGATACCCCAAAAGGATAAAAAGAAACAAACAACTATCTTTTAAAGTGTCGCAAATATTCATCATATCATTACGACATTTTGAGTAAGAAAGCTAAGAGGTGTTGCCTTCCTCTTGCAGTATTTAAAAATACACCACTTATTATAATTGGTGCCGCATGATTGCCAAGCCAATGCAATCTGAATCAGAATTTCTCAGCACCACCCTTGTCTTTTTTTTGAGCATCTTTCCATGATCCCATGATCCTTTCCACCTTATGGTCCGTCATTTCTGGATCTAGTTGTGGTTGCACATGCTAAGTGGTGTCATTACTCTCCTCACCCCCCACCTCCACCATCCTTTACCTTCCCTACTCTGAGAAGATAATAGATCTTAGAGCCCTGACTGTATTGTACCGTTAATCCTATATAGTTAACTTAGTCACAAAATAGCTCGGCTTGTGTGTCGAAGCCCTGTGTCAGTCAACGTGTAAAAGCTTAACACTGAGCATTGCTGGAGTTGTGTGTTTGTGTGCAAGCAAGGAATACATCTGAATACTTTGTACAATAACCCATCGAAATGTGCCGCCAAATTAGCATTATATTCCCTAAAGTATGATTCTACACACATCATGTCACTGTGGGCACACATTTCTAACTGAGTCAATGCAGCGTGTGTGTATTCGATGTCAGTTGAAGGATCTCTGGCGGCAAGTGGGATAACAGAGTTTTCCCCGACTTACAGGGAGAGACAGGTGTGGAGCGCTGCAGAGACAGTAGCCCACTGATACTCAGCACTTTGTTGAATGAGCACCTCCATTCCAGCAGCCCACTACACCACAGCTGCTGCGTAATGTCACTGTCCTGCTGAGTGACTTGTTAATGCATGTGTGCATTTTGTATGTGCGCCTTTGGGGACTCTTGTTGCCCACCATGCACCTTGATTTACGTCCAACCAGAAATAAATTACCCTCACGTTGCTTCACATGGTGAGTTATCGGTCCTGGTTCAGTCGTCGTTGACCTCCAGTCTAGTTAGCAGTTAGCTCCAGACTTCTCTGATGAGCCGGCCTGTCCACACCCTGCTCTGATCGACAGTGCATCTGTGTTTGCATGAGGAGAGTAAGGGTCCTGAGAAACAACCTCATCCATGACCACGCCTGAGAGTGACAGCGCATCTGTGGTCCAACCTCACTGTGGCTCTTTCACCCCAACACAAATGACACACTCTCCAGTAAAGCTCTGCAATCTGACCCATCTCCCTGCCATGTTTCAACAGTATTAACCCCCTCTGAATTTCATCTGGCCCCACCACCTGTTGTCAGCTGTATTTCACCCAGCCTGTGCCCTCTGTAGCCTATAGCCTCCTGTTTCCCTCCATAGGCACCAGAGCTTACAGTTGTGCCAGAAGTAGGTATGAGACCAGACCCAAGCCTCCCTAGGGGCCGAAATCCTAGACTGATCCAATTACTCCCAGCCGGGGCTTGAATCAGACCGATTCTGCTCCGACTGGAAACTACTTAATTCAATCTAGCTGTAAAAGTGATACAAAGTACACAAGTCAAGCTGTTAAACCGCAGTGTAGAGGGGGCAGAAGAGATAGGATTGGGTCCAACCAGTATTGAGTCGATGCTGTACTTCAAATAGTGGCCTTTTGCATTTTTTAAATGAACTTTGATTTGAAAAGAATTGCCCAACTATTTCATATTGATTTGCAACCTTGGAAACTAATTTGGATTTTTTAGTCTTTGTATTTCATCTTAATTTGACCTTCCTGTGCTTTGTTCGTATGAAATCACTCACCTTGCTGAATCCTGGCCTCATGTCTAAGGACACACTGAGCCTCATGTCGTTAAATATCTACCTGTCACTGCGTTGTGTGTCCTTTTCCGTCAACTAGAGCTTTAATGCCACTTGGGAGTTGCCTGATTGTCAAGTCAAACATTCTAATATCTCCTCTCTCTCTTTTTGACAGACGGTATCCATCACGTTGTGGCCCTCTGCACGCTGCGTGTCACCATCATCACTGACGACATGTTGACCAACAGCATCACGGTGCGTCTGGAGAACATGTCCCAGGAGCGCTTCCTCTCGCCCCTGCTCAGCCTCTTCCTCGAGGGCGTAGCGGCCGTGCTCTCCACCACACGGGAGGCAGTTTTCGTTTTCAACATCCAGAACGACACTGACGTGCAGGGCTCCATCCTCAACGTAACATTTTCCGCGCTTCAACCCGGAGGCGCTGCGGGTAAAGGGACGTTCTTCCCTTCTGAGGAGCTGCAGGAGCATATCTACCTCAACAGGACCCTGCTCAGGCTCATATCCTCTCAGGAGGTAACTCATATATGTATACAGACACTAACATGCAGACATTAACTTAAAATAAACTACCATGTTAAGCTTGAGGTTTCTTCTTCTCTCCAGGTGTTGCCGTTTGACGACAACATCTGCCTGCGGGAGCCCTGTGAGAACTACATGAAGTGTGTGTCGGTGCTCAAGTTCGACAGCTCCCCTCCCTTCATCGCCTCCGACACGGTTCTGTTCAGGCCGATCCACCCCATCAACGGGCTGCGCTGCCGCTGTCCGCTGGGCTTCACCGGGGACTACTGCGAGACCGAGATCGACCTCTGCTACTCAGGGCCCTGCAAGAACAACGGGAGATGCCGCAGCAGAGAGGGGGGGTACACCTGCGAGTGCCAGGAAGACTTCACGGGTGAGTCTTCTACATGTACAGAAAAAAGAAAGTCATTTTTTCTTTAACAAGGAAAAAAAAGAGACTTGTCAAATCTCACTATCATGTTGGAGGTAACTTTTAGGACCTTTTGACACAAATAACCTATTTGTCTTCATAGTCTTTTGTAGCTGTCATGTCATCAGAGAGAGATCACATAAAACAAATCACTACCTTAAATACCTCTTTATTTATTCCAGTTATAAGTATTTTTGATAATTAGAATCAAATTAAACATCATTGATAATAGCCTTTATGTATTAAATCTACCCCAGAAGAAGAAGTGTTTTATGAGTAAGTGCAAGACTCAATTTTTTTCTGACAGTGCTTTAATGAATGGTACTTCACTGAGAGGTTGTAAAAGCTCTCAGCACCTATTGTTGTAGCTACAGATCGATCGCAGTGCAAGAAGGGAAGAAATGCTTTGTTATGCTGCAGGTAAAACCACCTGCACACATACATTAGATTAATTGCTGTAGAGGAATGCTGTCTATTCTAGTAAAACCAGATCTCAGATATCACCAACCTAATTCTTTTTAAATACAATTGTTGTTTTAAAACTTTGAGTAGTGCTAATATTATGAAAGACTAGCACAACAGTATGTTTTACTGTAAACAAAATAGGCATGTTTACAATGATGTTGTTTCAAATCAATGTCCCTTTGTCATTGTTTTTAAAAAACCGACTTTAGAAAAGGGTTTTTAGGATCAGTAAAGATTATTATCAAGTAGACAAATTGCATTTAAACAATATGTATAACTAATAGGAACATGTTGACATATTCAAGACTCCACAAACTAGGGAAGAAAAAGCCTTCTAGCTAGCAATGTCGTTTTAAAATTATCACAAAATGATTTATAAGAAATGAAGTCCATTCATGTATACACACACAATGTGTTTCGGCAAGAATGCAAGCACATGTTTTATCTATATGAAAATATCTTAGTCTACATTAAATCTAAAACCAGGCTTTTATCAGATTTAGAGGTCTTCCTGGAAGCGGGCACTTACAGTCACTCTGCACAGCATTTACATGGTAGATGAGCCTCGGAAGCTTTCATCATTCCCATTCAAATCACTTTCCGAAATATTTCCCGATGTCAGTGATCTTCCTCCCATACTTCCCCCTTGTTCATCTGATACCTGGATGACTGTCTCTGCTCTCTAATAGACCCTGGAGGGGCCCCTGACAGCCGTCATGCCTCCCTTCCCTCTGCCTCTCCCAACACTCTTCCTCTCCTTCTCTTCCTCCTTGGTCTTATCTGATGTAATTACCTGATTATACCTGCCTGTGTCACTCACTGGCCCTCTCTCGCCTTCTCCTCCTGCTCCCCATGTCCATCTTCTCCGCTCACCCGCCATATTTTCCTTACCTACATCCCGGTGTCCCCTCTTTGAAGGTCACAGTTCAACTCCAGATAGTCAGGGCCCATCAGACGCCATTATGGGGCTGATGACAAGCGGGCCTGATCTCTCCTCCTTGGGTTTCCGACATTACAGGGAAACAGATCCTCATAATTCGCCCTCGGAAAAAAGGATTACACTGAGGAGAGAAGGGCCATTAGCTGGTTCCAGTGCTGTGGTGTTGGGGGGTCTGTGTGTGTCCCGGGTGGAGAGATCTTGTCTGGACAGAAAGTTGACACACAACACTGCAAGGGACAGAGGCACCCATCACAAATAATATTCCAGTCAGTATTAGTGGAGGAATGTATATAAGCCAAGCCAGGAAACTGAGCTAGAGCCACATGGTCATTTAGGAGGAATTTCCCATGGCAAGACCCACTGCTGTAATTAACTAAATTAAATCATAGAATCTTATAAACTCTGATATCAACATGCAGCCTTCAAAATATTTTGTGAAGGACTGACTTATGGTAACTCCCAAATTATGGTTGGCAGAGCAAATCAAAAATCATCATCCTTGTTAGCATGGATACTTCAGTTGGTCTCCTGAGGATTTTCTCAATATTTAAACCAACATATAGACAAGCTCAGCACCAAGTTAATAAATTACGCCTGTTAACTGCAGCTACGCACAAAGACGTTTCATTGCAGTATTCTCCAAAATGCAAAGTTGCCAATTTTGATTGTGAACAGCTAGGTCATTAAATGGTACATTTTAGTAAAAGGTAGACCTAGCTAGTTTAAGTAGATGTCGAAGTGGTTGCATGAAAGTAGGGGAAATAATTGAAGGAATTCTATAAAACCAAAACTATAATGACGCTACGGAAGATTTAGCTGGTAAGCTATTGTCTGTGGTTAATCATATCAGCTTTACAGACTTTACTTAATGGAAGAATGTCTTATCTCTGTGTTCAACAATGTGTTTTCTCTTGCCACTCCCTTCTTGTGCCTCTTTTATCTCCCATCCTCTCTCTTCTCTCCAAATATGGCCAAATTACACTATAGTTAAAACCTGCGCTTCCCAGAAAAGGCCTATAAACAGGGCTTTGTTCTCCATTGATGCTCATGTTGAGATGGGCTTTTCCTAGGCTGATGTAACCTACAAAAGTTTTATAAGTGTGCTTGACTTAAAGTCAAAGGAATCTTGTTAAAACAACTGGATTCAAAACAGATGATGCATCTGTATTTCAGTCAAGGGTGGACGTTATGCTTCATAGAAAATATTAAATGGTGATTATAGATTGATGATATGACAAGTCATTTATCATTCACATTGCCCTGCACAAACAGTGTTGTCTTAAGGTTCCAGACAGCAGATATATCAACTCTTTAAAGTAACCAGGCAGCAGTGAAGGTGTAAACTAAATAAAAAATGAATGTCAAATCCTACAGATTGAACTGAACCCCCTCTCTTCTAACAGGCGAGCACTGTGAGCTGAATGCATCCTCCGGCCGCTGTGAACCCGGTGTGTGTAAGAACGGCGGCATGTGTGTCAACCGGCTGGCGGGAGGTTTCATGTGCCAGTGTCCACAGGGAGAGTTCGAGAATCCGTACTGTGAGATGACCACCCGCAGCTTCCCCGGACAGTCCTTCATCACCTTCAGAGGCCTGAGGCAGAGGTTCCACTTCACCGTCTCCTTCACGTGAGTGCTTTCCTTGCTTCCTTTGCTACTTTTTTTTGTTTCTTCTCTTTACCAATAACAGTATGGAATACATTCTAGGTATATGTTACTCACTGTTTGCTAAGTCTTATCCATCTTAGTCACTTTCTTCAAGCTTTAACACTCACTGACAGATTTAAAGCTAGCACTAGCTAAAGAGTTAACAATAGCCTTCTTTAGCTGATACAGATGGCTACATACATGCTAACAACCGTGCTCCATTGCAGCATATAAAATAATAAAATAATGTATTTACTAGACTGTAAAGATGTTCAAAAGTGTTGGATTTACAAAATCATGGCTGGTAAACTTGGATAATGTTGTTTTCTTTCCTGCACTACACACCTTTTCACAGCAGCAGTACTACATGTCCGCCCGTCCTACTTGTAGCAGTGTGTGTAGCAAACTCTAATTTGGGGAGTATGTGGAGCTGCACAAATGAAAAACAGTTGAGTTTAAAGAGCTAAAGTGTGTCAACCGGGGCGTGTCCAGACATATACACACTTTTTCATTGTGTCCAATTCCCAAGAGGAAAGAAGAAGCAATCCTTCTTAACGTGCAATGTTATGAGGTGTGCTTGTGAAACTGCTGGAGGAAAAAGATAACCTTGGCTCAGCAAAATTGCAACACACAGTAAATATTATTCCCTTTACCGGGAATAGGTAGGATGAGTTTAGTGGCGACACGGTGACGGTGAGAAAGGTTTGCAGTGGAGTGAAAACAGGAAAGGCTGTGTGATGAGTTTCTCTTATCAGTGTTTGGTTACAGCCATCCTGACTTCCTGTCCTGTCGGCCTCCCTGGCATCTGCCAGCTGACACCTCTGCCCTCACCTTACACACACACACCACACACACACACACACACACACACACACACACACACACACACACACACACACACACACACACACACACACACACACACACACACACACACACACACACACACACACACACAGCTATGTGAGCTTTGTACCATAGGTATTTACCGGGTCTTTCTCCCTCTCTGCGGCCCACCAGCCTTCACACCTCCTGCCTTTCCTTTCCAAGTGACTTTTCCTCAAGAGCTTCTCGGCCCTTTCATCATAAAGCTATCCGCAAGGCCTTCAACCGTGAAGTCCCGGTCTGTTTGAGTTGGATAGGTGCTTAGAAATGTGACAGGAAACATGAGCTAGATTAGAGGAAACAATTGAAAAACGTCTCACTTTGGACTTTAAAACTGAATAAATTAATCATTTATACATCAAAAATCAAAGCTAATTTGTTTTTGTTTTTTTACAACCTTTAAGAAGGTACTGGATCTCCATTTTTGTGTTTGATCTGTTCTTGTAATTTTCTATAAAATCCAATTTGTCTTTGCAGGTTTGCTTCCAGAGAGAGGAACGCTCTGCTTCTCTACAATGGCCGATTCAATGAGAAGCACGACTTCATCGCTCTGGAGATATGACGAGCAGATTCAGCTCACATTCTCTGGAGGTGTGTGTGTGTGTGTGTGTGTGTGTGTGTGTGTGTGTGTGTGTGTGTGTGTGTGTGTGTGTGGTGTGTGTGTGTGTGTGTGTGTATGTATGTGTGTGTGTGTGGTGACCACTTTAAGTATTTGTTGTTAATATCAGCTATGTTACTTATAAGTAGATAAACGCAAGTGCACTTAATCTGAAGTGGCTTTCACAAAGAGACGCCTAAACAACTTTGATCTTTGTGCGTTTTCTTTGAACAGGGGTGTGTATTTTTGTGTGCAATCATGTATCCAAATGTACCAGAGTTTTAACATGTACTTCAGTGGGTGTTTCTGTGTGTGGTAAGAGATATGGGTGTGTTTTTGAAAGCAGCTGCTTCCTCATAGAGAGGGAGCTGTCAGACTGATTAATGATGGTACAGACATTAAACTAGCCAAAAACACCCAATACACACACAACACACACACAGACAAATGCCAACAATAATTGGACCGACCATTAAATGCTTTTTTTAACAACCAAGGCAAGTTATTAAAGCATGTATTGACACAGAAACATGCATGCACACGCACAGTTCTTGTGCAATGAAACCATAGGTGGAAAAAGTACAAGTACCAGGATTAAAATGACTTATTATGCAGAATTTCCAATAACAGAATCCTTTATATGAATGTATTGGACTACAATTATTGATGCATTGATTCATACAACACTCAAATGTTGCAGATGATAACATGCTTTATATACTTCTAGTTTTGGAATCTTTATCTTATTTTATTTTAACATAAACTAATATATTATCATTAATCTTTTCATTTTATTTTGTATTATTATTCAAAATCTTCACAGTAACTAGCAACTTAAGTTGTCAGAAAGATGTAACAGTACAACATTTGATTCTGAATCCCAGTGAAGTAGAAGTATAAAGTAACAGAAAAGTACCTTAAAATTGTACTTAAGAACATTATTTAATTAAATGTTAGTTGCTTTCCACCCCTGAATCACACACTCACAATAATTATCCAAACTGGAAACTGTTGGATTGCAGATCAAACACATTTTCTCTGGGCTTATGAATTATGTTTTCAGAGTCTCCCTATTTTCCCATGGTGCGAGGAATTCAGTTCTTATGATTATGTTGGGCGAAGCTTGTTTGGGAGCCGAGCCAAGTCCCCGTTTATAATCTGAAATATGACTTAATGTCAAAAGCATGACTCATCAAATAAAATACTCAGAAACATGATTCATGGTTAATGAGAGTAGTGCGGAAGAAATCCCTTGATTTATTCGCAGTATTTATCCTCCAATGCGTTTTGACTTAAATGCAGTATAGGGCAAAGCAGGATATACAATCACTTCCTTCTTTTTCTTTTTCCCTTTGATGTGCACAGCTAGAAAACTGATCCATCACTTATTAAGCCCCTCTCACACACACTCACATCACTCAGTGTTGCCATACTGTTTACTGATTTCCAGAGCAGTGGATTCCTGCCCCTGCTCCTCCTGCCCTTGACAAACAGAGTAAACCCTCAGTAAATCTGATGCCATTGTGCTGTACAATCTTCTCACTGAGACCCATTGATACAGACAAATACTAGCTTTCTCAGTTGATTTATGATCATGGTGTGTGTTAAGGAAGTTTGTAGAGTGTGCCTTTCATGATATCTAATCAATTACCTGTGGTTGAGCAAAATAGACATTTCTGTGAGCATTCAGCAGCAGATGTTCTCAACAATTTAAATTACGTTATATCTATAATTCACTTTTCCCTCTCTTTCCTCTCCCTGTTCCTCTTCTTCCCTCGTCTTCCAGGTGAGACAAAGACCACAGTGTCTCCATACATCCCAGGGGGGGGTCAGCGACGGCCAATGGCACTCGGTCCAGCTTCATTACTACAACAAGGTAAGAAACAACCTACCAATGCTCCGCGTCATCCAGTCGAAATTTCCTTTTCAGCATTTGAAAACGTGTGATGGGGTTAAAACATGGCATGACCCTTCAGATTTCGCTTCGGAGATTTTGTAATATGAAAGAATCTCATTGAATATTGCACTTTTTCCTTCAAGTTCATTATTAGCCAGTGTTGAGAGTTGATAAGTTCAGGGGTTGTATCGTGGGAGTGTATGAAATGTAGCTTTCTTTGAAGCTACAGAGGGAGTTGACCTTGACTGCTGATTCGGGAGATTATCTTTACAGGGCAGGTTTGACTAATGACGTTAACTCTGACATGGGTTAACCCCTCTTGCCTTAGCATTCCACGCTAAATTATGGTATAGCTTTTGTGGAAAAAGGTCAGGGGCCTGGCATTGGCTTCAAGGGTCAAAGTTCATCCACTGTCCCACTCATAGCTTACTGGTAAATGTATAATGTATTTCTAAGGCAAGGGCCTGTAGATACTCTGTTTTTGTTAAAGTCTCAATTGAATCTACTTTCAAAATTACTATTTTTCATCACCAGAAATCTTTGTTTCATTCACAGTGTCTAATGTCGTCTTCGGTACGTTCCCACCTCTATGGTTCCCACGATGGTCTTCTTGCGTCTTTATTAAATCCAATCCCAGACAAGAGACAGCGATTATTTCACAAGCTGTCTCTTGTATCCTCTTCACTTGTAATATTAGATTAGAAGAGATTACATTGCCGTCAATTGCTCTGGTGTTAATTTCTAACAAACTTCCACAGCTTGCGGGCATCATTCTTATAACAATAAACCAGGCAGGAAATAAGATGCACTCGCTTTCTAAACATGTATGTTCAATAGTTTTATTATTCCGGTTTAACTGTATAAATCATCAGAACAGGTTAGTCGGCTGTTTGTGGCATTTTATTTTAGTTAGGTAAAGAATATAAAGATATATTTTTCCAATTTGATGTTGAAACTCTGATTCGTTTCCCATTTTTAATTGAAACCATTCCATTTTACCCTTGTGGACCTAAGACACACCATATTATCCAGCCTTATTCAATAAGCTATTAAAGCTAATATGCTAACTTCTTAAATGCAGAACATGCTATTTTCTGACAAAATAAATCCATCCCCCTTTTCATTCATAATTGGGTCTACAGTCATGTATCCAGGGTTCGAGTTATAATCTGAGTTTTATGGGGGTCTTTAAAACGTGCGCACGTGTATAAGCACATACACACACACACACACACACACACACACACACACACACACACACACACACACACACACAGACACACACACACACACACACACACACACACACACACACACACACACACACACACACACACACATACAGCAGCAGCCTTCTACTTGCTACAAACTTAAATATGAAAAGGTTCAACTACTCGCACACACACATCATCTCGGCTTGTGCAGCACGCTCACAGGCATAGATTGCGCAATAATTTATTATTATTTATAGCCTATTTACCTCGTTAATGTAAATAATACTCATTACATTGACACATGCATTATTTTTGTATAAAAGATGTATGATTTCACTGCTTTCATAGGACCCCTCCTTATGGAAGCTCAGCTCCCATTGGCTCCCACATAACTCGAACCCTGCATGTATCCAACGCTGTTAGCCATAGCATAACTAGCTGACCCAACACTTCCAGCATCATATTTCAGCAGCACCTGTGTTCTACAACTTGTTAAAGAGAGCGCCCTGCTTCTTGGCCTGACGCTAGCTTACAATGCAAACCTTCTCACATTTCACAGGTTGTTCGCCTCTTTCTTTCTTTCTTTTCTTCTCTTCTTATAGCATACTTGGTATGGACGTCTTCATCAAAGGGGGTGACTCTGGCTACCATACTGTACTCTGTTAGCCACGGGGTGACATGTGTAGCTATTGTTTAAGGCTGCATGTCTGCCTAGAGACAATAGCTTAAACCTTGTACTGCTTTGTTAGCGTTGCTGCAAGGTCCCTAACTACCGTAGATATTTTTTGCAGAGTACAATCTGTTGGCACTAAAGACTTCTTTGTTTTGTTTGTGCATTGGGTTGTCTGGTATTTGTCGGGACGTCTCTATGGAAACAAAAATAGATTTAATTCCACGTCCCAACATATTTCCTGCTTTGTTGCAGTTCTGTGCAGTTTATTCTTCTGATTGATTTAGCTTCACTGATCCTACAGGCTTCCTCTTTGCTGCTGTTATACCAACCCAGTCTCACGGCATTTCGTGTTATAGCCACGACATTTATTTAATCTATTGATTCGTGTTCACCAACACGATTTTCGCATTTTTTTCGTGTCACACAGAACGATTTTAAAAGCAATGTATTTCTGTTGGTAGTATGTTTCGTGCCTGCACCACGTCTTTTTGTTCGGTCGGGTCTTGGAATACCAAACGCTGTGTGGTTCATAAAAACATTTTCTTACTCCATATCTTACCCTAAGCCTAACCCTTTTATTTTAGATTGTATAATGTCGGAGTTTTTTTGACGTCCGCGAGGAAAATAAATGGGGCAAAGAGCCTCAGAATACTGAAATTTGTATTTTTTGTCATCTTTTTTTCCTTCTAATTTGTTATTATTTACATTGCTTTTAAAAATTGTTCAGTGTGACACGATAAAAATGGCGAAATCGTGTTGGTGAACACGAATCAATAGATTAATTTTGTGACTATAACACGAAATGCCGTGAGACTGTTGGTTATACGCACACACAAGAAGTATGCACACAAACGCATACTTGTTTCACCAGTATTAAGAGTGTATCCTGGTGTTATAAGCGTATAAAGCAGGGGATGTGTGCGTTCCACCAGTGTCAGTCTCAATGCAAACCAATGATTTGTAAAGCTGGTGACACATTCCGTTGAATTAGCCTGAAGCTGACTTTAGCGCTGACATAGGGTCTGCTTTTCTTCATGTGTTGATCAGTAGTTGGATTGAGGTCATTTAATCCCACATCAATTGCTGGAGGGTTTAGTGGAAATATATATGGCAGAAAGCAGTAATGTTCTCACAATACATCAGAGGTGTTGACATGTGAATGTGCAGATGTGAATGAAAGCACACTACTGTATGCAAGAGCAGTCACACACACCTTTCTGTGCAAAGCTAATGTTAGCTTGTTAATACAGCGGTTGTGACCTTTTTGGATTAAAGAGTAAAATAAAGATGAAGGATCAAACTATTAACTAATCATCTTAATCTTAATCAAAAGTAACGCAACATACCTCAAACTACATTATGCCACTTGTTAGCCCATATCAAATTTAGCCTACGTATAATGTAATTCTTAACTAATTAAAGATGAACAAATACATTTAAGTGCCATCACACAAACTAGTTCTTACTGTACATTTAGATAAGTTGTTGCTAAATGTTTATGCTCAGTAGGCCTAAATATTTGCCAAAGCTGCACAGCTAACTGAACTAGCTAACCAAAAACAGAGTAAGCTAGCTCAGATACGAAATACAGTTTCAAAATAGGAGAACGGTAAACAATGTGACGTGTAATTTGGTTGGCACACTAGATGTAAACTATTAAGATTTTAAATTACATTTTTTTTTAAAACATCTCCTCAAACTAAAACAAAACGTAGGCTTATTCCCATAACGTTAACCTATGTTAGGTTAGCATTATTTAAAACTTCCTATTTCCACCTTCTATGCTATGTATCTAACAAAAAAAAGCCATAACATGTTTTATCTGCCTATTAAAACTGTTATTGTTGGCAGTTTTTTTACAACTTGTGAAACTTAGTTACACTGTACATTCAATAAAAGCTGTTTCAATCCAGTGTTGTTTGCCAACATGAGCACACAGTTGTTTTTTAACGGTCCCAACGGCACACTCACACAATACACACACTTGCACGCACAGACGGTGATTTACTGGGTCAGATGATGAGGCGGTTGAAGTTGTGCAGGTTTGTATGTGTGCCCCCTTTTTAAAGCCGCTGCTGCTCTCCTTTTAAGAACCAGGGTGCCTCTGCTAAAATACAGAGGTCAGAGGTCGGGGAGGGTTGGCATGACAACAGACGTGGACTTGCCATTGTAGCAAAGATCTAGGTCGGTTGGAAAGCTGTCTGTGCATGTGTTTGCATCAGTGGGGGGCACACAAACAGAGAGCTACTGTGTGTGTGTGTGTGTGTGTGTGTGTGGGTGGGTGTGTGTGTGTGTGTGTGTGTGTGTGTGTGTGTGTGTGTGTGTGTGTGTTTTGAATGTGTGCATATGTCCGTACTGCCATTAGAAATATTACACAATAAAGGTGGAAAGATAAAGACATTTTTGAAATTCCACGGTGCGGAGTCTCAAGGACAGTTTACTGTGTCAGCCAGGCAAATCTAAACAGGAAACACACATAACACACAGATAGAACGCGTCGATGGGTATTCTCGGAGCAGGAGGTTTTGTCTTGGGTTTTGATGTGTTGCTCACTACAGGAAATGATGTCTCTCGTTGCAGGAAGTGATGTTATTTAGCTGGACACTGGGCAGGATGTCAGTTAAATGATGATTATATCTGTCAGACCACCTGCATGAGTTAAGTCAGGATTATATATGCGCAGAATAGGAAAGAAATGCCTGATTTATTATTTAATTCCATTTACATTTTCCATAACCACCACAGCCATAATCTCAACATGATCCATTTCAGAAATTCATACATTTGTCATAGAAGTTTTGTCTAGGAAGAAAAAGCTTTTTGTCAACACACCCTCTCCACTAAATAAAACTAGGAAATGCAGTTTGGAGACTCTGGAATAAAAAAAAGTTTAAGTGAAGAAAAAGTTCTTGTTTTGTATACATTTTAAATGAAACTTTTTATCACATGAAGTTTGCAGCATTTTGTGGCTTTTGCATGTCAAACTTTCTTTATTCGAGTTGATTTAATGATCTTGGCAAGTACTAATCCTTAACGCAAACCCTTTAAAATGGGTCTGAGTGATGACAGATACAATTACTTGTGGTTGCATC